ACGAGCATACAAACTACATATGTTTAAGTATTCCGTATTTGTAAAATAAGCAGAGCCTCATCCCCAGTGGAATTACAATCATAAATTACTACAATATGTTCTGAATATGACTTTAGCCCTCTAATTGGTTGCAAAAATGCGACTAATTGGTCTTAAGAAAAACGCTGTTTGGAGCTATTGGTCGATTTGCGCACTACTAGCAACGGCTCCCTAAACATATTTTGTTTACTTTGTTTTCGTTTAGTAGAGACATAGTATCTCATCATCGTTAGGTCTCAATTCTTAATGGAATCTCAAAGGAATAGCATGATAGCTTAGAAATTTTATTAACACATGCACATTATGTACATACTAGCTATCTTAGGTACACATTGCTTAGTCTACTTGCTTACTATTGTTTATAAAAATCTTTATAAATTTCTTGGATGAGAAGATATATTGTTTAGTTAGTAGTTAGTTACATATTGTTAGTGTTAAATATCATAGTAAGCAACTAATTTTAGTGATCGTTTTTTAATAAATGTGGTTTCATTCCATCAAAAATCGTTTCGATGATTATCAAACTGACGAGTACTCTCGCAACGCGCATTAGCGCTCATCATCTGAACTCTCTTCAAATTTGAACGCGCGTTAACGCGCGTTACATGTGAACATAGCCTAATTGCCGACTATGAAAACGGCCGACTAGTCGGAATATTACAAATATAAAACGATTTTACCGTATATTCATTTATGCCATAAACTTTCTAAAACAAATCTTATCAGTCTACTAATATAGATCAGTTAAATTTATAAAAGTGTGTATTTGTACTAAGAATTTACTTGGATTTTTTTGTTCATCTTTAGACTATTGCTATTATTAATAGTAATAGTATTAAACAATCAACAACTTAAGTAGAAGTATTGAAACAATAGGAGTTTTAAATCCAACTTTACCATAAAATACTTTACCAACATATTGTGAAACGTCACTATAACAACATATTGGAAATAATTTTAATAGATCAGCTCTGTGCCAATACTGTTAACTTGCTGCCAAATTGTTCGTTGTGAATTTAAATACTAGTAATCTCGGTTTATTTATAGGCTTCTTCGATGTTTGTTCACCCTCAAACAGGTAATTTTATCGATACTGTGTAAAACTCATACATCACAAACAATGATTCGAGTATATTTTTCTTTGGGTATCGATTAGTAATATGAGTAAATAATATTTTCACTGATTAATGATCGTTGGTTATAATACTGATAAATAACTAGGGTTTAATTTTTTTCATCAGAAGGAAAATGAGATGTAAATTAATGCTTTTTTAAAATATTTATTATATTTTTTTCAAAAAAGCTTAATAATATGATTACTCAAAAATGGTTCACTTTTGAATGATGCATATGGGGGTTAAAATTATCTCAAATAATTAACACTTACTTAATGGGAATATGTCGAATTACCAAGAACTATCCATATATACATATATATGGAGAAATTCATTCATTTAAGGGCTCAATTCAATTATAACATCGGCGACAAACTTGAGAGTCGCGCACAAAGTTTTTAAGTAAACTCTATAGACTTGTTTTGCCCATTATTTTTTCTGGCTACTACGCGTAAAATCTAGCGAAATGATATTATAATCTTTCGTGTCGGTTATAATAAATATCATCAATGCAAATTCAAAGTCGATAAGTAAAGAAAGAACAAGTGCAAAGAAAACTTACACGGGTTTTAACTCAGTTCGGAAGCTTTCAACTTTGGCTGGCCTGATTTTTACTTACTTAGAAAATCTTTGCTTCGTGAGCTCCTGCGTCAGCTTAGTTATTAATGCTACAAGTAGATTGTATAAGACCGTTTGGAATATACACCTAAGGAAACTATAAATACCAGGCATTTTTATATGAAAATCAGTTCGTAACGTAGTTCGTTTATGATATCTTTCTTGGTTAGCAAAGCACCACTCACGCGAGCAATACATATAATAAATAGGATTTCTGTTAAGGTAGACCTATATGTTTGTACACTGGCTGAGTTCACAAGAGTTGCTTCCTAATTATTAGTTATAAGATTTAGATATATAAATATATATTTTTTTAAATGTTTTTTTATCTAGGTTAATTGGTGTGGGTATAAATATTGTGTCGTTCTATCGAATTAGTAATTACTGTAAAGATATAATAATGATATGGAATAAATAAATAAAAAAAAAATAAAAATAAAACTTTTTTTATTCGCCATAACTCTAGTAGTATAGAATTAGCGGGAAAAACTGGATGAATGTTGCTCAAGACAAAGAGAAATGGAAAAATATGGAGGAGGCTTTAACTTCAAAAGGGGCCATACAAGAACAAGACCACAAAAAAATAAATCTAACATAAATTTATACTAACACAACTAATACTAATATTAAGGAATGCAAAATAAAAAAAGCTTTAATAATAAATAAATAAATTACTCTAGTAATTTGCAGGTGTTATTGTGCACACAAAAAGAAAACTTTCTTAATATCTAGGCGGGGTTCTAATGCGCGACTTTAGGCCTAGGAATTTTCATGAAATTAAGTGAGAAATCTAACTTATTTATTTTAGCATTGAATGTATTTTGGTATGAAAATAAATGCATATAGAAAGAAGTTAAGGTCAATTTAGACAAAATTGTCTAATTAGTAGGTAGATTATTTGCTTGGCGAATATTTCTAGTTCTATAAATTCACAACCTCATAGAGTATTTAAAACACATAAATGACGACCTAAAAAGAACTAAAAAAATAAATTTTAGGTGTAATTAAAATAAATTTATTTATGTATTTATACAATTAAACAATATTTACAATTTTCTTAACCTACAAAGTAATGATTAAAATAATTAAATATTATCAAATGTTTTGGTCCCTGTGGCAGTGTACCTTTAACGCTGGCAGCATTTCCTCGCTCTATTGCGATACTTATTCGTTGAGCTAGAAAAGCACCAGCTCTGGGTTCACCGGTACCAACTTAAATCTTTAATAAGCGCCTGTGCACTTGAACCAAAAATAAATAAAAAAATATAGTTAAAATATAGTTTATTAATATATTCATCCGATGGAACAACATTTGTATGCTGTGATACTAAAACGTATACATTCATGTGACATTGTAGATTTGACTAAAAGCAAAAGATTGTTTTCGCTAGAGCTAAATACAATTCAAGGTTCATAAAGTCATATTATGGATATTTTATGGCGACTGTCGTACTCATACTCGTCGAAACATTACGAGATCGCCCGTGATCGAGAGAGTATACGGTGTTCTCGCCTCGCTGCGTCCCTTCTTGTCGCTTTTCTGACAACCATAGCGGTTCATCGAGACAAAGCTTTTCACTATTTATAATAACGCGTGTGTAACATAACATATTTTTGTCGAGACATCAAGAATCGAGACTAGGAAGAAGCTAGGCATTTGATAGTAGCCAAGAAATACAATTGCTATACTTATTACTTAGTTACTTATTTTATTATTATTAAATATATATAACAATGTCATTTGGGATCTGAGTCAAGGCACTTTGTGACTGCATAGTTAGATAATATAAGAAAAGCTAATCAATCTCAAATAGTAAAAATGTAATGGATTATAAAATGCACATTCGTTTAAAATATTTAGACTATATCGCAAAATATATGAACTCTTAAAATGCATAATGTAATAAATTGATGTATGGAAAATAAATATTTTATTCGATGTTACTAATTATTACCCTACTTTAAATGGAAAATTGATTATACCATAATTATTATAATATAATTATTGGGCTTTTCATCTTTTTTAAACGTTAAAAAGTGTCGGAGGGTTTATTATCTCTACTCTTCTACGCCCTTCATTTGAGAGCTTGTACTAAGTGTTCATTGTGTTACATTAATGAATAAATTACATTTTGTTAGTTAAAAATATTTAGAGTACGTTTGCTAAAGTTACTTAACAAAAGCAAATACATAATCTCTAGAACTTAAAAATATACCCGTAAAAAGAAATGTTCTATTTATATGGAAAGTTACGGCTGGTAATACAGATTCTTTGGTGAACTTATATTTACAATATTAAAGTTATTTAAATATAAAATATCTTAATTTATACTTTACAAGAAACTGTATCGCTGAAATTTAAAATACGATGGTGGATATTGATTTACTTGTGTTTAATATGCCGTCATCCGTATGTAATAAAAGCATTGAATTTTTTTTGGGAGAATGTGCTACGTCTGGTCTCACCTCCGAATCTTCCCCATAGCCATTTATTTTCTTCATCATGCATTAATTCAGTTATATAAAGTGTAATCAATAGTAAAAACGTATCATTAATGACGAATAATAAACTAGTACACGCCATCTTGAATTGCAATCTACCTTATATCACTTAAATAATACTGAATGCATATAACTTATCACTCGAATGCACAAAATAAAAATAGAGCAGTTTTTCCTAACGTGGGGCCCACGTTCCACAAGGGGGCAATTTGATTGTTAAGGAGGTTATTCCAAAATTATTAAAATTATTTGGAATTTAAATTTCAGCTTTAGATAATATGCTGTGAAAATTTACTTACGTGTTTCGCTAACAACTTTCTAGTTTCTTAAGTGAACACACAATTTTAATATTAAAAATTATGTATGTTATAACATAATATTATGTATTATAATATTATGTAGGGAAATAAGAATTGAAGAAAGACTACTACTACTGGGAAACACTGCAATAGAGTAAAGTACTACAGGATTACCACGTACCTTCAATAATAGGCTAATATTGGTATTCGCAAACAAGGAACTATAATGAAGTCGTTTGACAACAAAATATCTTAATATTGATGTAAAAGATATACTAATATATTATACTAATAAACCACTGATGACGCAATCTTGTAATTACGTGGTACGAAGACTCAATGTTGAAGTCACGTGGTTATCTATTGTCTTTTTACAACCACATTATGGCAAACATTCCGGATATAATTAGTTTATTTTTAGTTTACTTCAGGAATCGGTTTGTGTCTCCATGTTCTCGTGCCGTATGAATTCAGTTTCTTGGATATCGTCTTCACTGTGAATTTCCATATCTGCTGGAAAATAGGATACAAGCTATTTATACATTTTGTAAATATTTAAATACTTCTTAATTATCTATATTTGGCTATAAATCTCATCTATTTAGGTGGGCTTATCTAATATATAAAATTCTCGTGTCACAATGTTCGTTCCCATACTCCTAAACGGCTCGACCGATTCTTACGAATTTTTTTATGCATATTCAGTAAGTCTGAAAATTGGCTACTATCTATCTTTCAAACCTCTAAATGTTAAGAGTGGTCCACCCCTGCATATTTATTTTTATTTTTTTATGATACAGTATACAAAAATACGTACAACCCGTAATTGTCACACCTCTACGATCAACCCCTATTTTTTTATTTTAGTACATAGTTATTTTTATTGAACTAAAAAAAAGTTTCCTAGGAATATATAGTTATACATGGTAAAACAACGTTTGCCGGGTCAGCTAGTATTATATGACAAATGTAGGTTATATAATATCGCTTACAAATTATAAGTTTTGAGGCTTTTGAATAGGTGAAAAAATGTATCCTTTAAAATTCTTTCCTAACTACTTTTTTAATGACTTCGTTCAAATTTACTTATCTCATGACAAATAAAACTCCTTAAAAATTACACTTTAACCTAATAAAACTTAATCGTATTTATATACCTTCAAGTTTACAATGCGGCCTTGTATCTAATGCAAGTACTGCAAGTGGCGTATCATCTAAGACTCCTGACCATCGAGCAGCTAATACTCTAGATCCCCGGTGACCGCGTACCACCACGGTCGGTACTATGCTCGGCGAGAGTGCTGTCCCACTATACATAGATACTCCAACGTTACGAGTCAGGGCACTATATGAAATAGAAAAAAAAATAGAAAAATGCACAAATATGATTCCAAATATTTTATCCAATTTGAAATTACTTTTGTTCTGTGTCCCGCGTACGACGTGGTTTCTTCTTACACATTACCACTAATGTGACGCAGAGAGTAGTAAGAATGGTTAGCATCACCAAGGCAAGAACTGCACCAACCAGCAAAGGCACGCTGTTGTCTTGGGGACTTAATTGTGGTGGAGATGGTGTCATGGTCTGGAGTGAACCTGTTAAAGGCCACAAATCGTTGTTTTTATCACATTTTTTTTTATTTGAATCTTTGGATTTACACTTACCTGGTCGGTCGAGGTCTTCCATAGTCCTTACAGGAACACTATGTAGCGCAGCGGGTTGTAACGATCGACCACGAGGATTAACAGCATATATTAGAAATGTATAACGTCCAGGAGAAAGAGAGTCAAGAGGAAATTGAGGTGTCGCATCATTGCTTGTTTTATACACTGTCTCAGTTAATCCACGCCCAGACATACCCTAAAACATTATGATTATTTTACGCCTATTAGATTCTTTATAATAATATTATTTAATATCATGAGGGTATACTCTCTGAAGACCATATTATCAAAACTTAAATGTAAAATACATTTCATACTTGATCATTCATAGCAGAATCCAGATCATTTCGTTGTACTTCTTGCTGTTTAACCCCAAGGGCCTCCATTACGAACCATTGAGGGAGACCGCCGTCATGTCCAGCCTCGCATCTTATAATGTCGTTCTCTATTTCGCAATTGCTCGGTGATTCGGGGTACCCTGATACAAAAATTTAATCTTCAATTGAAAAATAACTTCTATGGCTAGTAAAAATGTGTTGAAATGACATTTGTATTACTGTTTGAAATGACAAAAAATAGCCAAGTAATGATATAAAGCCTCACCAGCTGGCATGATCCTAAATAAGCATGGTTCTCTTTGGTTCCCAATATCATTCCTGGCCCAGCAGGCTAACCAGCCCAAATCCTCGTCATCAATATTAGGTAATCCGTGGATAGCAGTGCTACTTGAACCCATTGTTGTGACGTTTGATACAGGAATCTTAAAAGAAAGAATGTCTGCTAATGAGTTTGAACATGAACCCTTTTCATTGATAGGCACGGTTAATTTTCAATACTTCGTAACTTCCCTTGTTCTTTTTAGTAGAGTAGTAAAAAAGAAAATTGAGACTACTTCATTTAAATTGTTTATAAGAATTCTGGTTAACTCACTGGAAGAACGTCCCTGGTCCCATTATAAGTCCAATAAAACTTAAGTGGTCCAGCATCTCTTGCAGAAGGAGCACTAACAGAACAGCGAGCTCTGACTTCACCACCTGGGGCACCAGCTATTTGCTGAACTACGTTACCGGCAGAGCATTCTGGGCGAGCTAAAAAAAATTGTTAAGAGTATAACTTACCAAAATAAAGTAACATCGCCAAAATACATTAGTAAACATTCTGTAATAATTTATAATTTGACACTAACATAATATATTCAAACTAAGTGCTTCACTTAATCCACTGCCTTCTGAGTTCCACGCTCTGCACCGATATCTGGCTGAATGGTGCCTCCTTAGACCATGGAGGAACAGTTTTTGTCCTTCCACAGATATACCACCAACAGGATCGTCACGTATGAGGTGATCCTGTAAGTGAAAGTCTAGATTAATTATATTAAGGTCTGTTATCAGGTAATATTATGTATTTATGTCGTAGCCTGATTGGACCTTCTGCATGCGTGGGGCGAGAGGAAAAACTAACGTTGATTGCGGCTCACTAAACCAATGAGATGGTGGTAACACGCAAAGGTAAGTTTAACAAACGCGACTATCCTGCTAAGGACTTAAAATAACTTGCAAAAAACTGAACTGGAAATTGATGACTTTTCTGTGACAAAATTATTTAAAACGCAAAATGTCCGCGGGAGTGGGCGTGGATGAAGTGGCACAATGGGACTGATACAAGGAACAAAAAGGCTACCTCCATACTGTAATGTGTAAGGCAAGGTACGGCAAGGGGACGCGGAATGCGGCTGTGCTCAGCGAATCTCTAAGTTGCCGAAATTCGTCGGAACCTGGAAGAGTGCCATCTAAATGGCCAAAAACGCACGATGGTACACAGGGCACTGGGACTGGGACGCAAATAGGGTACGACGAGTATCCGCTTTCGGGGGGGCAATTCGCACTCCACACGGCGTAGATCCTGACTGGCCACGGGGCTTTGGACACTATTTACACAGATTCAAACTTAAGATAAACCCCGCACGCGACTATGACGAAAGAACCGACCATAAGGTGATTAATTTATTTCTTGACTGTCCGACTTTCGAAAGAGTAGGATCTGATGTGGTATCCAGCGATCCGATATGTTTTTCGGGCATTCATTCTAATTATAAGCCTATAAATATTTTGTTTATCCAAAGAACAGTAAGATATTGTATAGATTGTGATATTCCTCATTAAGAGCGGAGCGGTTGAAAAACTAATATAGCAGCGAACTCAGTTAATGGAGCGTTATTATAAAGTTATTACTTTTACAGCATAATAAATTGAATTTTTATGTTGAATTAATTTAATACTAATTACCCAGTCACGTGTTGTCACGCTACGAGTCACGTCGTGTAGACTTAAGTTTCAATTTGCGTGAAACGACTTCACTTGCAGGATATCAAATTGTATTGTTAAATCCAATTTCCTAATCAAACTGTTTGTGAACCTTTATGGCAATCAAAAAAACTGTTAGCTTTGACATTAACAGTCATAATTATTATAAATGATAAACGTTGACTTATCTTGTCCGATTAATTTTAGACCAACTAGATTTCGAATCGCAATTTTCACATTTGCAACGCACTTAAACTTAGTTTGACTAATGTTTTAAGAAGAAAAGAAAAAGAAAGTGGTAGTTTAATACCGCGGAAATACATTTCTTTTCTTAAGAAAACAAAATCATAATAGATTATACTCGTATTAAAGATTTTCAAAGAAATTTAAAACTTTAACTTGTTATTACTCAACTATTCATAATGAATAATTTATATGAAGTAACTACATACATTAATTACGTGAACGCATGATGAAGTTTGTTTAGATGGTACACACGCTCACTACACGTATCTCATTATTAACTTATAAAAACAAACTTATATTATGAATCTACGCAAGTTACATTACTCATATTAGAAATTATACTGAAAACGATGAAATTCCTGAAATTGCGTCGTTTTTAAGGCTAGGTAATTAATATTATTATAAAACATCTTTAGTTCTTTAACTAATGTAAACGCGACTAATGTAAATTACATACAGAACTGGACCTGAGTCGAATGATTTATAACAGGCTTGGCCAACAAAGTGATGTTCTAGAACCAGTATTCAACTAATGACAACTTCAAATTTAGTTGAACTCTGACATCTACTTTATTCATTTACTTAGTGACACCCTTCGAATCTTAACACAGGGGTCGTTCGTGGCTAAATCTAGCTGCGTACTCATCAATGGACAATAAAAAAACAATTTGAACAGAACATTAATTTTTACACCATACCTCAAATCCCTTATAGAATGAAAAGTTGAATGCTGGTGGTGATGCATCAGCAGAACATAGCAATACCGCATCTTCGTCTTCGCGAAGCTGGTGAGATTCCCTGGGTTCAATAAGAGATATTTGGGGTATTGGTGGGTCTGTAACAAATATCGAAAACAACTTATAAAAAAAATTCATCTGTAACTTTAAGATCTTTAAAATTGTTTGGTTTTGTTGATGTAAAAAAGACTTTATATGAACCTTATTCTTACTTGCTTGTTCTTGCTGTACAGCTATTGTATGCAATTTTTAATTCTTTTATTAATAGATCACCCATAACCCTTTACTTTTATATCTCGAAACCGCGTTCCTATGAGCGTGCATAAATGACGATTCAGCAATATTAGATGCAAACTCTTGTAGGGTAAACCTCTACTAGTCAATATCTAAATTTGTTCACATCCATTCGGTTATATGCAAATTGAATTATTATACAACTATGACATTTCAATAATCTACATTTAAGTTTACCATTATTGTATGTGCATTTTTATGTATACATTATTTGAGTGAACTGGTCATTGTTTTTTTCTAGTTGAAGCAGATTTCCTTGGGATGTTTTCCTTCGTTAATTTCGGAAGAATTCACTGGCGGTTTAACGCATGTAGCTTGTCGGGGTTTAGAGCATTCAATTAATGTATAATAATTTAAATACTATTTTATGTTCCATGTCCGTATATGTGTTTTAAGAGATGGCTAGAGACAACAGAAGATGAAAAATGCTTGAATTCCTTTGAGGATATTTCTACTCATAGTGGGTTCATAAATTTAGTGAGCTTTAGCTTTTAGCTTTAATAGTATAAGATATTGAATAATATGTACAAACCACTTAATCAAAGGTTACATAAAATAACTAGTGACTTAACTAAAAGTAATGTAAAAAGAGACTGAACATGAGACATAAAACAATTAACGCTTTCACTATAAATTACTTTTTGTGCTTTGTTCGTGGAAAATCGGAGGTGTGGTGTTTCTATTCGTACATTTAATCTTAATGTTTTAATTTAACTTTAAGAATTTAAAATACACAATTTTGTATGATTTTCGGTCGGTCGGTCCGAAAACGGTCAAAATTTGTTTGTTTTTCAATACGTTCAAGTTTTATTCATCACATTTCTATTCAGAAAAAATTGAGATTGGTAGGCAATCAATCTCAATTTTTTTTTTTTTTCGAAGAAAACTTAAATCTGTAGTATTTTAGTACTATATTTTAAATCAGTGAATAATACCTAGTATAACAACATAGTTATTTTACTTAATCTGAATACGATGTTAAGTTAGTTTTCAACAACTCATTTTAAAGCTTATTAACGACTTTAAACATCAAAATGTTACTAAATTTTAATTTTTTGTGTATGTAATTAGTAAGTACCTTCTTTAGTATCATAAATTATTATAGAGAAATATCCAAACACGAAGGTGAAACCTTATAAATACTATAATTTCTTATTTAAATCAGTTTCCATCCACCATATTAATTAATGTTAAACCTTGGCTAAAAGCTGTAAATATTGTATGGTATACGAGGTTTCTCCATTTAATTAACATTTTATATTAACTTCATATTGCATTTCAACATTTTGGATTTTTACATTATTAAAAGTATCTTACTGTATGTACAGTTGCTCGTATTGTTTATTCTCGGAAATCATTTAATTTCAATATCTGTTTGTAAACATTAAAATTTACGTCGTTACTAAGTAAATACCAACCATTTTATTATTTATTAAACTTAACAGTTTTTATTTTGAAACAGTCTAATATATTAATTTTGTAATCATGTAACCTTTAATATATAAAAAGTCGGGTTCGTTCAAACACTTATAAATCGAGAATTGTATTTGTCTCTGTCCTGAATAGCAGACAAAACAGGCACACACAGAAATCGTTTCCAATAATTTTCTATTAAAATTTACGAAGATATTCACATGTACTTTATTTTAACAACAAAAAAATAAAGTTATTTTTTTATTTTTAAGAGGGCCGTTCTCAATTCTTTATATCAAGTTCTAGCCGTTTCGCGCCCGCTTTTCTGGACGAATTAAAATAAAGTGTATGTTTCATTATTTTATTTTTTTTCATATTTTTATTATTCTTCTTTTTAACTTCCCGCTAAGAAAATTGAAATATTTCGAAAATCGAGTTTTTAACAGATGTTGACGTTTAGAGGTTCTAGGAAGCCTCCCCGAATGTTTCCGCGGTGAAGTCCGTATGGATAAATTTTCATAAAAGTAAAACAGCAATAAAAAAATGAAGGAACGTTGGAATTTAATAAATAAATAGCCATAAACCTATCTAGGAATCTCGCATCGAATGGTGGTAGTTTCATGTCGATACGATCAGTGGTTTAGGCGTGAAGGAGCCTCAAACGAAGACCATTTTTCTTTTATATATATAGATTGTCACGGATTAACATATTGTCAGTCAGGTCGTCAAATGTTATTTAATGGCTATATTTTTCATGTCAATAAATGTATAAAATATAAAACATTATGCATATAGAATCCTTCGCCCCAGACATTGGGGTAAGTTATTTCAGTGCACTATGTACAAACAAGCAAATAAGGATAGAACAATGCACAAAATGTTACCTTTAACTAATTAAAGGTACGAGTGCTTCTCAAATCGCGAACATTGTAATTAAATTAATTATAGTGTGAGTTAGTTTCGTACATTTGCCATGTGTTTAGAATTTGAGGAAAGCTTAGCAAACTAGAAATCTATTTTAAGGCTCGCCGCCCAAAACATATAAATAAATGTAGAGACCTAGAATGATGCTTTTTTTGTATTTAAAAGCAAGTACTCCGCTGCATCTATTTGTCTGTCTGTTTGCGATAAGCCAAATTGATTACAGTTTACAGAAATATCTAGAATGATCCTCTTTATATTGGTCATTGAAACAGGAAGGTTTCAATAATATTTCATGGTTTCACGGGCCGGGCCATTTTTGCGAAGTTGGGACGGATTTTTAAAAATAAATTGTGTCATAAGAACATATTCAAATACTGTAAAGTTTGTAATTGTACATTCACTTTAAAATTAAACAAACATAATAAATTTAATGAACAGAATATAACAGTTATATTCTGTTTACATATTTTGTCCATTAAAATTTTTAAATTGGTACGATTAAAATTGAATTGAATAAGTCTAAATTCATTGTCCATTCACAACGCGTCCGACAAAGTCCGCACAAAGTATGCACTAGTACAATTATCACGTTGTTTGTGTTGTAACTTTGTTTATTGTTTAGTACGTGCGTTTATAAACTGTTTACAACCACAATAGCTTGCTTGTAGCTTTTCATTTAAATAAAACAAGAAAAAGTAAATAGACAGAAACGTATATATAATTTTTATTCTCTACGTGTTTATAGTGTACTCATCCAAGAGTAATCAACGTAGAGTAAAAATTATATTAATAGTTGTAATCTATGGTTCAGTAATAGTTTTACACTACTATTCCTAAGAAGAAGTGTAGTGCGAAATTTTGGTATCTGATTTGTACTATCAATCAATTCGAAGCACGTTAAGATGTAGAAGCAAGATATGTATGTTGATAATATCTACGTGAGTTTATAGTTTTTTTTATAGTTTAACAAACGGTAATATAAACGTTTAACAAATATTTTCCGAGGTGCATTCATAGATTAAAATTCTGCCAGCATTAGACGGTTACTATATTAAAGTTTAGTAAATCTATAACATTACCTACTTATTAAAGTAATAAGTAGGTAATACATATCAATGTATTTTTGCCGTTAAAATTTTAATCTTAACTTACAAATAACTTCTAGTACTATAGAATCTTCTAGAGTATAGGCTGGAAACCATGGGTTGGAAACGCGGCAGACCAGCTCTCTGCCACTATCTTCTCGTCTTACACGCCAAGTCAGAATACTTCTTGTTAATTGTCCATCAACTTCCACCTATTAGCCGAGAAACATTTTAAAACTAAAACATATAATACTAACGTGATTTGTTTAACGATCTGTAACTAAAATCATTTTTTCACAGGACAAAATGAAACGTTAGAAAAACGTTAAAAAGTTTGCGTATCAAGATTAGTTTCGTTGTTTTGTAGCAACATCTACTGATGCTACAAGCCTATACGATAGTTCGTAGAGCTTACGTAGACTATAAATAAACCCGCTTTAATCGATTGGTCTATCGTCATTCTCAAATTGTTATATAATAAGTTCTTTTATCTTATTTGTAGATGTAATTAATTTATAACAGAAACTATTCTGCTGATAGAATTCGAGATTTAATGATTAAAACTATACCTGCGTAAGCCCTGAGTCGATTTTTTGCGCATTTATAAACCAGTCGATGTTTGGGGCTGGTTTTGACCCGCGCGTTGTACAAACGAATGACCTTTCGTGGCCAGCGCGTGTCGCTCCGCTTCCAGTCACCCTTACATATTGAGGCTTCACTATTGTAGAAAATATCAAACATATTAATTAACTGTTCTTACTAAAGAATTAATATTACATTATATTGCATACATATTTTATCAATATCAATATTAAGATTTAAATATATCCGAGACTAGAATGTATATCTTTACAAATCTCTGTCTTTTTTCTTCTAATTATATTGTCATATATAATAAAAAAATAGTGCACCAAATAAATATTGTCAGCCTTCTGATTAAGCTTGGGTTACTGAACCATGAAGTCGTGCGTTCCAACACCGGTTGTACTTCCTTTTATGTTTGCAATAATTTCTCATAGCGTGTGTAAAAAATGTAAGACGCGTGTTAAATGTAAAAAAATACGTCTTAGGATTGACACAAACACTATATGTTATGCATGCTCGATTTAGTATAGACCTCAAACTATAACTACGTACTTAATGTACTTACAATAAACTTTGAGCGAAACATCTTTGACTAAGTGCTGCAATAGGGGCGGGTCAACTCTGCACCGTAGTTTTGCCCCACTCATTTCACGCGACAAGCTTTTTATGTGCACTTGACAATTGAACGAGTCTCTAGCGATGCTTAGCCGTTCATTGCCATGGTACCAAGTGATATCAGGCATGGGCTTACCTTAAAACATATGAACTTATATTTAAGTGATGATTATATATATATTGGCCTTAATATTAACTGGTATAATATTGGCTACAATTTTTCATAAAAGTTGATAATGCACTATCTAAAAGGGCATACAATCAACTTTATCTAAATAGCTTTTTACTAATTTAGCTCTTTAAGTGAAATCTAAACGTTTTTTTTCAAATCTGTAGACATTTATTAGTATTTCGGATAAAGTAGAAATCTCACATGTTCAATTTTATTGTGTACTATAATAACATAATATGTTACAGCTTACCACCAGGAGCCATGACAGGTCAAGACTGGAGCTACACGGTCCTTAGACTAGCTTTCCAAGGGGACCTGCCAGTAACTTCGGAACCTTGCCTAAAGGGACTCCTTTAATAATATATTTTAGTTATAATAATATGTTAAGGTTGTTATTTATCTCGATATCCCTATATTAGCTATCATATATTCTGGGTGGGTCAGGAGGTACTGCAATAAATAACTTTTATAAATTATACGCCCATTGTTCATTATAAGTATGCAGTTTCTGTTAAATCTCGATCTAGAACAAATACAGCGTACTCAAATAGAATATTTTTATTGTTATTACTTTATTTGTCTAATATATAATTATGAGACAATTAAAACAGCAATTATTTTTATAAAGTAGTTAATAAATAAAATAATAAAACGTTATCAATGTCGTTTCAGGCGCTTACCAATGACTGTTAAATTGACTTTATAATTTTTTGTAGGAGCATCAATATAGTCTATCCTACATCTATATAAGGCTTCGTCATACTGAGTAACCTTCTCAATAACTAGATGGGCTGCGGTAGTATCTGACTCGTTTAGGACAAAGTGAGCTCTCGTTTCGAACTCGCCTGCCAGAGCCCAGTGTGTTGGTGGTCCATTTCTAAAATCTACACTGAAACAATTTTTTTTAAATTAGTGCTTACAAGTAAATGATGACGTGTTTCTTATATTTTTTTTGGCCCGCGGTAACATAGTTTATCCGATTGAAGGATTATGTTATATAGCTTCCAATAAGGTACGTTTGCAGAGACGTTTCCTTCCTTCCTGAGATAAACCCAACACACAATTGACTCAATTTTTTAACAATAGTTTAGATAAATAAATATGTGTATGTATCAGGAAATGTTATGATTATCAGAATATGTTATGATGTTAAGTTTGAGTCAGTTGATTTTAATATTGATTTGGTTAATATTTTTTTATGTTACAGGAGGCAAACGGGCCTCACCATCACCTGATGTTAAGTGAAACCGCCGCCCATGGACACTCACACTGCCAGAAGGCTCGCAAGCACGTTGCCGGCCTTTTCATAAATGGTACGCTCTTTTCTTGTAGGACTCTAATTATTGAGATTTATTTTGGGGTCAAGGTGGGTTGAGGTGCTATCTTGACTTTTGACAATGCGTACAGGGAACGCGCGACAGTTCTGATGGAGTAACGATGGAGTCAGCAATTTATCCGACAAATATATATATATATATATATATATATATATATATATATATATATTATATATACGTATTTGAATTAGGGTGGCAGTCCGGTTGCATGAACTAATATACATTTTATATACACAATGATTTCTTTGTTTCGTAAACTTTAATATATTATATACAATTTACTCTTCAATGTGGACGATAAAATGCAAAGAACCTTTTGTATGCGACGTATTGTTAGAATGTGGCTGCAAATTTTTTCCGAATCATAGAGCACAAGTGATGCCAAATTGTGCGCACTTCCTCCATTGACTCATTTTAAAACAACTCTTTACATCTGGGTGCAGTTTATGTACATATAGTAAACAAAATTACGACAAAGCAAGGTTTAATCAATCTATATAGAACTTAACGTTGATATAACTTTTTATTTTTAAGGCATTTTGTGGGTATATTAAAAATACATAAATTATATTTGCAGTTACAAATTTTAATTAGCCAGATACCCAGCTGTGACCCAATCTGATCTTTATGAATCTTTATTTTTCGCCATTAACAGTTTCTTGCAAAAAAAAGTTGAAACAAATGCAGATCTGTCACTACACGGTTTGGTGAATGGTTTTTTATGGTTATAAAGGGCGGAAATATCATGTAATAAACACTTTTACTGAACCACTCAAATTATATTCGCTGTGGTTTTCGGAAGGAAGCAATTCAGTACCGCCCCTGTACTTGGAACCGCTCCAGGGAGCCAAGAAAAATATTTGATCTAAACTACTCGCCGAATCAATAAAGTTTTTACGAAATAGGTAGACTGTTTGTTTTTACTATAAGATATTTCATATTTCAATAACATTCAAAAAATTTTTTTCTTTGATTAGTAATTGTTTTTTTGTAATATTTGTTTTGTTTAATAATAGGTTATAATCTCTATATGGATGTCATGTTTGCCTTTAAGTGCTTATCATATTAAAAATTGTATTTTGTGTTTGTTTTTACCAATGTGTCAGTGTGCCGAGCGTTGGCAAGCTTTTTCTCAATAAAAAAAAAATGAATGGTGGAAAAATAACTAGGTAAGATAATGTTGTTTCATTGGCTGAAATGAGTAAAGCGTACATATACTTAACATACAAACATACATACCATATCTTCTTAAGGTAAGATAAGTGCAAAGATTACGAGAAGATATGGTGTGAATAGAAACGATATAAGAATATACTCGAGCTCCTCAGTAAATTCTTAGTTAATAATTCTTAGTTTTGGACGGCTCATTGGTCTAGTGGTTAGTACCCCTGACTGCGAATGCATGGGTCCCGGGTTCGATCCCCGGCGGAGACAAACATCGATGTGATGAGCATTTGGTGTTGTGCTTAGGTCTTGGGTGTTTAAATATGTATTTATATATCTATATTTAATATGTATGTATATCTGTTGCCTAGTACTCATAACACAAGCTTCACCAGCTTAACATGGGACTACGTCAATTGGTGTGAATTGTTCAATAAAAAAAAAAATAAAAAAATTGATTTAATGATACTAGAAATCAAATTGGGCAAGTTCTCACTCATGTTAGACGTAAGCAATGGCTGCTATAGTAAGAAAACTTGATAAATTTCAGCCTAAATGCATGCATCAAATTATTACGTTTTGTATAACGTTAATACATTTGTGTAAACCGTTAGTAAAATAACAACTCATAAGTATATAAAATTCCCACATTAATTTACATTACACAGACATTTTCATCTTATTTATTAGTATTAGTTTACTTACTTAAAGAAACTGAGGAATTAAAATTAATTGCACCTTAATTATTCTACTTTCAGACAGTTAAAAGTTGAAACATTCTGTAGAAGGAAGATTCAAGTTATTTAGATTATTGTAACTCGATTCCGGCAGCGTTTAAAACTAGTTTAATGGTAGTTTAATTTGCGTTTTATACTTTGTAGTTTTAGTTCTAATAATAACCTTTGTGAACAAATTTAGAATCGTTCGAAAAAATTGTGAACTTTCTAGATTTTATGTTAAGTACAAATTCGTTCACAAGTATAGCAATTTAAAAATGATACTGTAATACTTTCTTCCAAATAAACTTTATATTAGCTTTTATGTCTGTTTTTATGTTTGTCTACGCGAGTTTCATAACAAAAAAAAACTAGATAACTATCCAAATCATGTTAATAAAATAAGGTATCGTAGTATAATATAATTAATTAATTATTTAAAATACTGGTGTGGATAGCTATGAACATAGTTTAAATGTTCAATAGATATTATATTTTAGCAAATACTGATTTACATCTACCAGCTTGATATTTATAGATTAGTGTTAGTATAAAATAACGCACATTCACTAACAGATTATTTATTCTATATTAAAATGCTTCACTACACTACCGTAGTGACGGCGGCGGTTTGGATAATTGCTTTGTTGTAACTTCAACAATTTTGTCAGTAGCAGCGCACATAGATCAATTTGAAATTTGCGTGAGAGTTAAGCTTTACTATCTCAAACAAGGTCATGGTATTTTCCATAACCAATCTCCAAATAACTAAGCAGTTTTCTGTGATTGAAAGAAGCGTTACTTTTCCCTTTCCTTTCTGAACTAGACTTTTTACTTATCTTAGTGATGTGGCTGTCTCCAAACTAAGACATCCAAAGGCTCAGCTTGTTCTTTTGGGGGATTTTAATGCACACCATTCGGAATAGTTATTTCCCTATGAGAAGACAGATGACACGACACAGCCGAGCAATCTTCGACATTGCGACCTCTTTTAATCTGTCCCAATTGGTCAGTGAAGCTACTCGATGCCGGATATCAAAGAACATGCTGACCTTAGATCCGGACCGGTACGTGGTCTCTGTTTCTGCCCCACTTGGAACGTCCGATCACTGTCTGCTAAAGTCTGTGTCGTCATATTCCGCCTGACCATACTTAAGGGTCGGAAGAGAGTGTGGAGATACAAGTCAGCCGACTGGGATGAGATGCGTAATTGGATCTTATCCTTGGCAGCAGGTGTGCTTCTGTCCCACTAACCCGACAGCCTGCGCGAACAATATCTCTGATGTAATTCGTTATGGTATGGAGTATTATGTTCCATTCTTTGACGTTTCTCTCGATTACAAAGCTCGACCCAGGTTCTATGCTCAGTGTATAGGAAAACCTTTTTAATATCTATCAAGCTTAAGTCCGTTCATGCAGTCATCTCCGGGCCGGTGATGATTTGGCAGCAAGGCCTTGGATGGTATTGAGAGGTGGGCTAAGTTGAATCTCAACTCTTGAGTCATGACCATCGCCGTTCAGTTGCCTGGCTCTCAGTCTTCTATAGATAGCACACCGGAGTATGCTCCGCGGAACTACACAATCTGAATCATCTCCATTCAAACAACGCTCATCTAGCACGCTGGAGCTTCACCTGTTAAAACAGCAAAGGAGTGGAACGCCTTGCCCCTTTCCTTCTGCCCTACGCAGTATGATATGGATTCATTCAATCGGGGATTCAACAGGCATCTCCTGAACAGACTTGCCCTCCATAACGCTACATCTCACTTAACATCAGGTGGGATTGTGGCCAAACGTCAGGCCAGTTATTAATAAAAAAAAGAAGAAAATCTAAATTAACTCTACCACAATAAATCGGTAATTTGCTCGAGTGAAATATTATTATTATTATTACATCATAAGCCTTCATTTTTCCATTGTATCAGATGATTTCCGGTGATGTATAATAGATAATCGTCAAAAGTACTACTTCTTTTTACACTCTCAATTGCTTATTTCAAACGTATTCGTTATGTGATGTTCCAGACAAAACTTTCACTTGTAGTCTTACGTTGTAAAAGTAGTGAACAATAAATACATAAATTTTTAGTGAATTCCAGCAACCTCTTAGTAGGCCATAATATACCTTTCATATGTGTTAAATCTTAGCGTTAGAAAAGCTAAGCTTAGATTACTAACCGGAAAAAAACTATTCTATCGCTGGGAATCGAAGTCAATTATCGAAGATTTCGATAGCATAGAATCGCTAATAAATCACCAATTACGTTCACATGTTTAAAGCGGTTATTAAACGTTAACAATAGTTATCAAAAAATATCAAGTCATTATATAGCTATTATTGTATAATGTATATGCATGATTCAGAAGTTTTCATTCATTCAAAGATAAGTAAAGATATAAATCTTGCGACATTGGAGTTTAATATACTTCTTGGACTTAAATAAAACTGTTAAAATGAAACGCTCGTCATTCCGTCGTCTCGTCGAGTTATTTCAAAGTTTTAAATTCATTTATGCATTCTAAATCTCTTTTTGTAGGTTCATAATAAACGAACTATATTTTTTTAGAATACCTCACTTATCTGGTATTTACTTTTACTTGAACCTTACAGAATTCTGATTTAATTAATATTTTATGCTATAATGATTATATTAAACAATTAGCTATTTATATATATTGTACATAGTATATTTATATATTATTGCAATAATGCCATCTTAGGATGTTCGTCTTGACCAGCTGGATCACGTGCCTGTCTTGTCATCCAGGCGTTCCAAATTGCCTGAGTGATATGGTAGATCCCACGTTCTATGCAAGAAATGTCAAGTCAACTTATGCTTGAATGAGAAGAGGAATAATTGTTTCCTGCTGTTTCATACTATTTAATACTTTTTTGCAATTTCTGCTCATTGTGCCACATTTAAACCAAAGTGGAAAAACCTGATTTTCTCACGTATTTTTTTAATAAATTGTAATTTGTTAAAATACGTGTCTTTTTATTTATTTTTTACATAAAATATATATTTTTGGCTCGAAAAAAAATCATGTAGTAAAGAGTTAAAGAAAACTCATGAAGTAAATGGGATTAACAGCGTTATTCACCTTGAGCATAGAAAAAGCTTTTGGTTTTTATAAAACACATTTATTGTCGATACATTTAAACATATACGTTTGCACAGTCTTAACCGTATTATTAAATCACAAAATAATAATAATTCAATTGGTTCGTGTAGGGCAATCCTAAAACTCCTTTGTTACGCCCGCTACTTGGGTTCCAGCCAAGCTATATGCAATATATATTTGGCAAACAATGGAATTTTCATTTAATATTGACATGTAAATTATCGAACAATCTCTAGACAGACTTTATAGAGTAATCTGTTTAAAGTTACTGTTTTCAAGCTGCCAACTATTTCGATATTAGACATTCCAGAAGTTTACATTCTTAGCGACACATATTCTTTGTAGAACCATCATTTCACCGATTCAAACCGTTGCCTAAAAGCGCTAGGTTTGAGACAAGTAGTGTCGGTTGTTACGCATCCAAATAGTTCTGAATTCTAATATATAGGCCCAGCGCACTGAGACAGCTAGTACTATGTATAAGAATCAAGTTTGAGACTATATATTGAGTGGTAAAGTTGCGATTGACCAGCTTTCTAACAAAAGATTGGCTATCGGCACTAGTGCCACAAGTTCTCAAGATCCCAGAGGTGCTAGGTTCAAACCTCTGCTGTGCACCAATAGACTTTTCTTTCTTTATGCACATTCGTTCGTACGGTGAAGGATGACCTTGTGAGGAAACCAGCTTCAAGCCAAAAATTCGATGTCGTGTCAAGCAGAGAAGGCAACTGGTACAGAAGTCTGACCAAGGGTTGTACCACTATTGTTTTTATCCGTGTTTTAGACTATACAATGTACATAAATGAGAAGTTCGTCAGTAACACAAGAGACACACTTTTATAAACTGTTGCATTTAACTGTATGAATATTGCATTTAATCCGAAAACTGTACTACAAGCAATAAATAAATACCAATGGAAATAATATCTAAGCTATTGGTCTTAGGGAAATAATAGAATTTAACAATGATTCCATCGTAAAAGTCAAAAGTAATTTAAAATTACTGTATGAGGTCGGGAGTTCAATTTGCGGACAAAGGTAACGGAATAATACCTCAAGGCGGGGAGTGGGGGTCGTAAAGTTACCTGTTTTAATGCCGCATCTAGGCTATAAACTGGGCTCTGGGAGTGCTGAGCTAGACAATTTTAGAGCACTTAAAAATTAATGTCCAGCCTCTTAATGGTTTGTATTTGATTTTTCAATTTTTTTTAAAGAACAGGGGCAAACGGGCAATAGGCTCACCTGATGTTAAGTGATACCGTCGCCCATGGACACTCTCAATGCCAGAGGGCTCGCAAGTGCGTTGCCGGCCTTTTAAGAATTGGTACGCAAATAACATTAAATTTGAATTTTCTACTGACTGTAAATGCGAGAGGTTGAGGAATTGGCGTCGAATAAATTTAGATTTCATTAATAAATTAAGCTTCAGATAGAGTACATCGAGTATCGACATCACAATTTAGTCTTAACATAGTTCTGAAGTTCAACCTAATCTATTTCGACTTGGCTGGATTTTAAAGATACGAAATTGTTGAATAAGCTGAAGCAATGCCATAAAACTGAGATTTGACTTATTCACCTTGTAAAACTGCGATCAACATCTTATAACTAGTTTTTGAATTTGTCTTTATGCTGGACATGGCGATATTAAGAAAGTATGAGTGAAACAATCTTTTTCTCTCATGTTTTGTTTCACTCACCAATGAAATTATATTATATAACGTACACTGCATATGTGTATGAAAATAGAGTAATTGAAATATAAATTACGGTCTTGAAGTCGTAAAAGTGACTGGTAGTACGAGACTTAATTTTCTGTCATAGTGCAAGCGAACATTCTCTTTTATTACCGTAATTTTCTTTCAGTTATGACATATTTTTCATCGAGAATTAGTTTCATATTAAGCTACATTTCATAAAAATTATAGGAAAAAAGACATAACAAGAATGTTTCACTTTTATAGTATAGTAATTAAAAAAATCTAACGAAGTATGGAATTAAAATCAAATAAATTAATTATGGTATTACTAACTAATTTCAGAAAACGTAAACGGGAGCCACCGACATTTAAAAAATAGCCTAATAGGACTTTAATAAATTTAATAAATTACCGTGTAATTTTAAAATACATTTTAATATAATAGAAAAACAATAACTAACCTTAAAATATAATAACTAAAATATATTATTAAAACGAGTCCCCTTAGGCAAGGTTCCGAAGATACTGGCAGCGTTCTCCCTTTGAATAGCTAGACTAATTCTTTGTCCGAGGTAGCTGCCAGCTCTTCGGTCTCCTGTGATGTCGACTAACCTTTTTGCTATCTCCTTAAAATTAAATTATAGCGCTAGGACCCCACGGACTAAGGGTCTCACCACCGAATGGGACAAAATCGTATTCGGAGCCTAGACCCTTGTATTTGCATGCTTTAGCTTTTTCAGCCGCTTGACAAGCCGCACCAGCTCTGTTGTTGGTTTCAAGTAGATGGGAAGGGTCCAGCGTGTCTGAACAGGTTGCAATCCCATACCCGGCACATCTTCCATGGAATCAAACTCATACCGTATTGTAAAATTATATTTATTTAATGAAAATTCAAATAATATTGTATATAATTTTTTGTGCTTAATTAAGTAGTAAAAAATTTACCCGACTACAAAAGGCGTAAAATTTTTTTAAAGGGATTTCTGGTATTTCATTTGAATCTATCGTAATTAAAGAGTCTCATTACAGTTAGTTATGTAAATTTTATGTTAGGCAGAAAAAATAATCACATTAAGATATAATATTTGGTCTACACAAATTTTTCATTTGCGAATTTTGACTTGTAGGGGCTTCTAAAGACAAGCGTATTATCCAAGGAACTGGATCACACATCATATTAGCATAACATGTAAGTGAGAAATAATTCCACAGAAAAGTATTGTATTAATTTAATTTATATTTACTAATTAAATTTGATAAAGCTATCGTGACTTAATACCATAAGGTTCCACTACGCACTTAAAGCTACAGC